AAAAAAAAAAAAAAAAAAAAAAAAAAAAAAATGAAAATAGAGGAGAGAAATAACTATGACAAAATATAAAAAAGAAATTTTTTTGTATCTTTAGTAGGAAAATATATTTAACAATTTTGAAAAAAAACTGTCTGTCAGAAAACGTGTGGATGGCATAGAGCATTAAAATTACAGCTCAACAAAGTCATCAAACAATTAATTGCCTTATTTAAAACACTGCCAAAAATACTCAGAAGTTTGAGGTTATGTGAAAACTGTGCAGTGACTGGAAGCTGAAAACAGTCTAGTTATTTTGTTTAATTTACTCCTTTACGCCTCCCTTGCAAACCAATCTACCTGAAGTTGATAGAGTTTTTGATTGAAGAAGGAGCTGAAGTTGATGCAAGAACAGATTGGAAGATAACGTTTGTTTGGAAGAAATTTTAAACTCTCTTATTGTTTTTTGTTTTTCTGCCAGCTTTATTGCTTACTTTTACACTCAAAGTTTTCAAAACTGGAACAAGAAAAGTTAGCTGAAGTAACTATATTATGGTATTTGAAAAAAAATTATTTTGAAGGAAAATATATTTTGCAATTCATAAAAAAAAAATTATTTAAAAAAAAAAGACATCTTACTGGTACACTGCACTCAAAACTGTAACCGAATAAGGTGGCCGAAAAGTTTCACGCCTTATGCAATAAAATTTGAAGAACTGTTCAGAGATTAAAACCCAATCCTGCCCAACTTAGACAACCTCAAATAAGCATTATCAAGTCTGATTGTACTATTGTTGAATACGATTGAAAAAGTTGAATTGATCACAACTGCTTGCTCTAAAGAAATTATTCGATTAGCAAATCCAGTGCGGAACGAAATACATAATTTAACAAATGTGATACGTAAGGTGTATGTTAACTACTACTATCACCATGTTAGCCGTGAGCAGAAGATTACTTAACGCTAGAACTAGTGCGGTCAAAGTCTTAGAATTGTTATAGATTACCTCCAAACCCTTTTAAAAAAATAGTCAAAAACGATGTGCATGCATAAACCCACGGTACGTTGCTGTTTCAGTAAACAATTCGCCCTAAAAATATAGTATTGTTTCAAATAAAAAACTTAAGAATCAAAAAAAAAAAAACCATTTACTTTAAAATGGTACGACTTTAGCACTAATTTGACTCATCCTCAGCTAACAACTGTGCGTCCAACTTTGCTCGCTCAGGTAGAACTTGCAGTGGCTTTAATCCAATCAAATGATTTCGTTTACACAAGTAATTTCTGAAAACTCCAAACGCCCAGTAAGACTCGAAGAACCACAAAATTCAAAAATGACTTACCAGACTCCAGACGTTACTTCTAGACTTACGTCTACAAACCAAATTTTATTTAATCTGCCACTGATATCAGAGAAACTCTTCTGTAGTTCATCAATTCTCGACATTTTCAAAGGTACTAAAAAATTAAAAACTTAAAATTTCTTGCCTTCGAAGCTTTCATCCATTAAAACAATAGTTGAAACCCAAATTTTCCAATATTAGTTTTCAACTTCTTAAGCTAATGAGATTACCTTTAATACTGCTAATCACCAGAAACTGTTTATAGAACTGTAAAAAAAGAGGAGTTTGACTTACTCTGACTTTCAAAGTCCTGCTTCTCCTTTAACAATGCAATCTCAATCTCCGACGATTGCTCAAAACGCTAGAAAAGCCACATTTACATTAAACTCTAAATACAAGAAATGACAAAAAAAATACTTATTTATGGGTAAAATTTAAGCTGTTTGCAGCAAATGAAAGACCAAGGAAAGACTGTCTCGACTCAGTATTTATAATTTCAAATGACCATTCAATCCTGCAGTACAAAGCAAAAAAGTTCGACCTACTGACAAGAACGAAAAAAAAGTGATTTAACTTAACGTAACATTTCTTTGAAAGTGTGTACGTCGTCAAGCAAAAAGTGGTCTTCACAAGAAGTTGTAGCTACTACATCCCATCTTCTCAGTTTCAAACATGTAAACAGTAGTGCTCCACGCAGCAAAAGCTGTCGCTTTTTCATCGTTTTAGCCACAGCCCTTTCAACCATTTAATCACGTCCACCTTTTCCGGACAGCATCCCGCCAGCGGCGCTCGCCTCATTCCAATTAAACGGGCTGTGATGGTTTGCAAAAAAGAGCAGATCAAGCAACCATTAAATGAATAAATGGGTAATTTACTGTAGCTTGCGACTGATGCTTAACTGCTTGATCGATTAACACAATAGTTTAAACCCTTTTCAGCTTCCGATTAAAGTTTTATTGACTAGAAAGAAATCGTTCTTATGTTGCTCAAAAATCAAGAATTTCATTTTTCCTAGTACTCCTTCACATGCTGAAGCTCCAAAAAAACCACTTATCCATTCATCACTTCGAGTTTCCAAAAAACAAAAATAACAAATGCAAGAAAATCCACTAGTGCTCTTTTGGGAACAAACGCTTAAGAATATTATTGGAAAAAATGGACATAAATGACTATGCTCAAAAAGAGAGTTTGAAACATATCATTTGACTGAATCGCCTGAAGCTGGAAGGCTTGTCGTGAGTAAAGCACGAATGATAAAATAAAGTTTTAAATCAGAAAACAACCTATTTTAAGCCAGTGATAGTGCAGTCACACCTGAGTCATAGCCTTTACTTACTACTAAAACTGATGGAAATAAAAACAGCGCTCCCGGCACTCCGCTAATTCACCCAAATTGAGGGAACAATAAGAAAGAATAAGCAACCGAAAGATATAAATGATAGTTTAAAAATAATATTAAATTTAATAAAGCATGCTTGCGTCTTTCTAAGTACGCTTAGTCTGAACTTGTAAAATCATACACCAAACTTCATTTTCTCAGCTAGCCCAGAATACAAATCATCCTTCAGACTTTCATCCTCTTCACCAATAA